TGATAAAATTCATAGAGAAAAAAATTAGAATGGTCTACCCAGGAGCTGGTGGGAGGGGAAATGGGAAGTTGTTTAATCGGTAGTTTCAGTTTTGCAAGATGAATAAGTTGTGGAGATCTGTTTCACAACAATATTTTGATTAGGAAGTAAGGCAAGGGGTTTTTATGAGAAAGGGAAGGGGAACAATTATGTTAATAGAAGGAAACAATTTTTGTGGGTGTTAATAAGCTAAGAAATTGCTAAAGGTGCCAGTAAGCTACCATAGTGGTGATAATTCTGAAGAATGTTTTTAATTTTCAGTTCAGTAGTCATAACAACTATGAACAACTGTAAACCTACTTTTGTCCCACCCTGTACAGCCAGAAGTAATTGCTGGGTCTTAAGACAGTTCCATGTTTTTATTTTTTAAGGAACCTCTTTACTGCTTTTCATAGTGGCTGCACCTGTCTGCATTCCCACCAGCAGTGCACAAAGGTTCCCTTTTCTCCACATCTTTGCTAACACTGGTTTATTGATTTATTGATGATAGCCATTCTGACAGGTATGAGGGGATATCTCATTATGGTTTTACTTAGCATTTCCCTGATGATTAGTGACCTTGAGCATCTTTTCATATAGCTATTAGCCATCTGTCTGTCCTTTTTAGAGAAATGTCTATTCAGTTTCTCTGCTCATTTTTTAATTGGATTTTTGTGTTTGAGTTTTTTATAAGTTTTGGATACAAACCCCTTATTGGATGTATCATTGTCAAATAGCTTCTTCCATTCAGCCGGCTTTCTTTATGTTTTGTTGATGGATTCCTTTGCTGTGCAAGGTTTTTTAGTTTGATGTAGTCCCATTTGTTTATTTTTTTCCTGTTGTTTCTTGCCCAAGGAGATATGTCAGGAAAATATTACTAAGAGAAATGTCCGAGATTTAACTGTTTATGTTTTCTTTAAGGAGTTTTATGCTTTCAAGTCTTACATTTAAGTCTTTAATCCATTTGGAGTTTGTTCTTGTATAGAGTATTAGAAGGTGGTCTAGTTTCAGGTTTTTTTTCGATATATTCAATTTTCTCAATGCTATTTATTGAGTAGGCTGTCTTTACCTCATTGTAGGTTCTTCCCTTCTTTGTCAGATATTAATTGATCATAAAGGTGTGGGTTTATTTCTGGGCTCTCTATTCAGTTCTATTGATCTATATGTCTGTTTTTATGCCAGTACCATGCTGTTTTGAGTACTGCATCCTTGTAGTATAATTTGATATCAGGTAGTGTGATACCTCCAACTTTGTTCTTTCTCAAGATTGCTATGGCTATTCATACTTTTGGTTTTACATAAATTTTGGATTACTTGTTCCAGTTCTGTGAAAAAGGCTATTGACATTTTGATAGGAATTGCATTTTACCTCCTTGGTTAAATTTATTCCTAGGTATCTTATTTTATTGGTGCAATTGTAAATGAGACTGATTTTCTTAGTTCCTCTGTCTGATAGTTCATTATTAGTGTTTAAAAATGCAACTAATTTCTGAATATTTATTTTGTATCCTGCTACTTTACATAATTCATTGGTCAGTTCTGGTAGTGTTTTTGTGGAATCCTTAAGGCTTTCTCTATATAGTACATGTCATCTGCAAATAATGACAGTTTTACTTCTTTCTTTCCAATTTGGAGGACTTTTATTTATTATTCTTGTCTGATTGCTGTGGCTAGGTCTTCCCATACCATGCTTAATAAGAGTGGTGAAACTGGACATTCCTGTCTGGTTCCTGATCTTCAAGGAAACATTTTAAGATTTTGATGGTTGAATATGATGTTAACTATAGGTTATTATATATGGCCTGTATTACTATGTTGAGAAGTACCTTTCTATTCCCACTCTGCTGAGAGTTTTTATCATAAATGGGTGCTGGATTATGTCAGTAGATACTTTTCCTACATCTATTGCTGTGAGCATATGATTTTTTTTTTAATCCTCATTTCTCACTCTCTCTCTCTCTCTCTCTCTCTCTCTCTTTTTTAAATCCTCACCCAAGGATATTTTTTCCATTGATTTTTAGGGAGAGTGGAAGATTGTGAAAGACGGAGAGAAATACCAATGTGAAAGAAACACATCAATTGGTTGCCTCCTGCACGCACCATGACCAGGGCCTGGGTTGGGGAGGAGCCTGCAACCGAGGTACATGCCCTTGGCAGAAATTGAACATGGGACCTTTCGGTCGCAAGCCAATGCTCTATCCACTGAGCCAAACCTGCTAGGGCTGATCATATGATTTTTAGCCTTCCTTTTGTTTATGTGGTCTGTCATGTTAATTGATTTGTGGATATTGTATCAATCTTGCATCCCAGGAATAAATCCTACTTGATCATGGTGTAATGTTTTTGCTGAATTCAGTTTGCTAATATTTTATTGAGAAATTTTGCATCTGTATTCATAAGGAATATTGGCCTATAATTTTCTCTGTAGTGTCTTTATCTGGTTTTATAATTCGGCTAATGCTGGCCTTGTAAAGTGAGCTTGGGAGCCCTGGCCACTATAGCTCAGTTGGTTGGGCATCATCCCGTTCACCAAAGGGTTGCCGATTCGATTCCCAGTCAGGGCACATGCCCAGGTTGTGGGCTCAATCCTCAGGAGCGGCATGTGGTATGTAGCCAATCATTGTTTCTCTCCTTTCCTCTCTGTCTAAAAATCTAGTGATAGGTTTTACTGTGGACAGTGAGGTAAGGGTGGGACAAGATCATTCTGACTTCAGCACTGATCTTGTCAGAGTAGATGCAAGTTCAGGAAGTCACAGTGGACTAGGAGGGCAGAACAGAAGAACTGAGGAAAGTATGGGCATACGTCCAGTAAGAGGCACACAGCTCCAGAAAAGCTTGGCTGTGCCATTCCCCAGAGGGACTTTATCACTTACAGGATCCAGGCTAGGAGCTGGAATATATATGTGATAGAAGTAATGCCAGAATGTGGTGGTGGCAGAGGATATTCATGTACTAGTTTTCCTGCAACAAAAAAAAATCAGAAAGCCGATGCACAACATATTTTCCTGCACATTCCAACCTAAACAGCTTGCACAAATTGCTCTAATTTAGTTAACTCTGTCCTCTCCCTTGCATTGTTCCAGTTTATTACTTAATTGTCCAGGCCTCACCCTTGCGTTTTATGATGGGCAAGAATAAGATTTCCAACTTTTATTTTTGAAGAGAGAGAAAGAAAGAAAGAGAGAGAGGAGAGAGGAAAACATCCATGCACCCTGACTAAAACCTTTTGGTGCATTGGGCAATGACTCCAACCAACTGAACCACACTGGCCAGGGTGATTGCCAACTTTTTTTTACTACCCACTGGGTGAAGAGTGTAGAAACTGCTGCTTTTATGTTTTCTAACCATGTAAGGTGTGATAAAGGAGGTAGCAGTTATTACTTTTCTGTGTTTATTTATATAGATTCTGGTTTTAGAAGCAAAATATTTCTTTTAGTTTTTCTCTAAGTGTAGTAAGCATAATTTATTTTCTTTGTGTCCCATTTTGGGTATTTTTTTCATGCCTCTCAGAAAAAAGATTTGGAAGATTGGAAATATTATCGAAGATAAAAGCAAATGTGTTCCCGGCATGTTAGGCCCACTCTTCTGGGTGAAAGACTTTGAATATGTTGACTTAGATTTTTAAAGCTCTCTTAAAGTATAAATGAGTCGTCTATCTCCGGTCTTGTTCTCAGTATTACTGACCGCTATTAGAGAGGTATGCCAAGGAGAAGTCAAATTGATCCCTTTTGTAAGACAGTTTGGTGGTGTATTGCCTGGGTCATCATTCCTTCCAGGCTCCCAAGATGAGATCATCCTTGGTAGCAGTTAACATCAACTCTTGCCTTAGGTTCCTTCCTCACCCCCCAAAACACATACAACAATCCTTAATGGATGGAACTATTGGACATTGTCATCATCTGCACCCACATCCACCCTTACATCACTAAAAATGAGAGAAACAGACATTGTGCTTCCTTTTTTAAAAAATTAAAAAAGCATAACTAACAAACATGAGGACATTGTGCCTCCTGATGTGACACAGTAT